ACTGACTGGTAGTGAAAATGTCCAAGCGTGGCAGAGTTGCAGTCCAACTTTGTCGGTCTGCTTAAGTGTACAGTTCTTAAAAGGTTCGAAACACCAAGTGTTTCAAATAATGCTTTAAACAGACTTCTAGGTTTAGACAACTTGTGGTAGAGAGGACTTACACAGGACACGGGAATAAGACGGCCCCGTCCAATTAATAAAGGTAGCCCTGTACACAATTCAATGATATGTGAATATTCCCCTGGCATACTTCCAACACCGGTCCTAACGTTAACCTAAAACGTAGATAAAATGCAATCGTTTCGTCTTTTTTTTGGGGAATCATGTCACAGCAGAGGGAAGTCTCTGTACTCTCAGTGACTGAACGTATATTTGTGAGCTGAGCATCCTAACCCTTCGACCCGCGTATGTGTGTAGATAATCTTAAGTTTCATTCTGACATCGTGTCCTACAGTGTTCATTTGTGATACGTGGGTTGGTGAAAGCATGCAAACTCCTGCAGCTCTAAAGTCTGTCGCTGGTTTTTCAAAATTTACAGACGATGGCGGTTTTCTCTTTCCTCGATAACGGCCAAGCGTACGCATACTTTTAGGGCCGAAGGTACTGATTCAGATTAAGAACAGTCCCAACATATACTATTAGCTGCATATTGGCAGTTTAAAGAATATTTCGTGGTTATCCTACCGAGGCTGATGGACGTTCCTCCAAATATTCATTTCAAATTACGGTCTGCTCCTATAAGCCGTAGAATATACGGAGTTACTTCAAGTAGAATATTTACAAGAAAGCCACAGGGGATGCTGGGAATATTGATAAGTCGAATGCCTCGCTGTTGTGTCATGCAGGGACAAAGTATCGGTAAAAAATATGTCTGGGAAACATATATCTAGTATCTGCGTTACCAATATGGTGTGCAGTAAAACCTCAAAATAAAAGCAACCGCTTGCGACAAAAATGTTTATTAATTCGTTAAAAGGACATCAACCGGACAAATATTCACTTTTTTAAATGATGCATTGTATTAAGTTCGAGCTGGTTTAATGAATACGTGTGAGCTTATTGAACAGTCATACTCAGGGCTTTTAAACATGGCGGTTCCACTCTGAATTCCGGCAGAATGAGCGGAAGTCAGGTGGCAGTACTTGACTAGGACAATGAACTTCAAATAATTCCCGTAAAACCTCCCCTTCTTCGAAAAAAGCCTCACGGAGTTTTTGTTAATCTCTCAAATATGTCTAATTAGATTCTGTTGACCAGAGTAATGGTACCGGCATGGTTGACCATTGGTACATCCGGTGCACTTTGGCTGAAGTTTTTTCGTCGTAAGAAGGTAAACACTTCCATTAACGTCGAGTTTCGTAATTAAGTTGTTTGCCTCCATAAATTAACATGCGTTATACACTAACAGCATTGCACTTAACTTTCTAGATGGCCGGGCTAATACAGTTATGGGCGTTCTTGCGAGAGGCAAACATGGAAGTATTTCAAGAACTGCGCACATTAGAACAGCCACTTCAAAGTCTCTACACAATCACTGAGGCAGTGCAACAAACCGTCAGGCAAATTGAACGAGCTACCTACATGTCACGCAGTACTGATCAAGGCCTAATCACAAACTGGTACAAACCGCCCGCCTCGGAGATCCATGACCTCAGGGAAAGTGATCATCATTTTGCTCAAAAGCCGCAAGATCAGTCCCAGCAAATCTTTGATGAAAACTGTGTAGACCAGACAGAGCACATTGGGATGCTGCAAAGTGTGAGCCGTTTAGGCAAGGCCTTTACAGATCGGCTCAAAGCCTCCTTCTTGTTCCAGTTTCACAGTGATGGAAGCTCTTATGGCACACAGTTAAACCTAATTAATATTCTTCTGGTAAGAAGTACCAACAATTTTCAGGAGCTACTTAATGAGCTGCGGATCAATGACCTACTCTCTGATGTCACTATGCTGGACTTGAGAAGAAAGGGTCAAAAATGTCTGGATGCTTCCTACAGTTTGAGCGACCTGTTAACCAATGACAGCTTTCCTGTTCAGTGGAATACTGTCCTCCAACTTCGGAACTCTACTGCGCACCAGAAGTCGGACAATGTGATATCTCTGCTACAGACAATGTTGCTTTCTACTGACGCGCACTTGAAAAGGCTCAGCTTAGATTTTGCTAGACTCTATAAGGAAAATCAACATCTGGTGAAAGAAATGCGCACGTTGATCCCCTACCAAATTTCGGTCGAACAGAGGTACAGGTAAAACTTTTCACATTATAATTAGAGGAATTTGCTTTTGATTAGTGTAGCATAAGCAGGAGAACAAGGATGACCCAACCTTTCGAAAAGATAAAACGAAAAGTGCCAGTGTGGGATTCCCATCTTCGTAAAGTAAAATTGTCTATTTTTTAGGAATTCTACCGGCTACATTGCAAGCACTCCAATCTTCATATTTACTTCAAATTTAAGCAAAACTATAGACGGCCCTGCCTTATATAAATGGTTTCAGGCGAAAAATTAACCAACTATCCATTTTTTTCTCAGCAGTTGATCAATGTCTGTAATGTAACTTCTCACATATTTTTTTGATTCTGTGAGTGATACGAGGGCGTGGCTTGTCAGTTTGGAATGCCAACATGAAGAGAATGAGTGCATTGAGCGGCTTTTTTCGCAAGATTATGTGAACAAAGTTCCCAATGACATTTAATGGCAGCGGTGATCTGCTTGCGTTCCTAGGACTAAAGTTTCGGTGGAATACTTTTTTGTCATGGAAAATTACAAGGTCAAATGCGTGCCTATGTACCCCGTTAGATATTCTAGCAAAGTTCTACTTTTAGACACTCAGAAAACGATTATTAGTAGCCCACAAAGTTAAAATGCGCGCAAAGGTTTAAGGTTTCACCCAGGTCTTCCAGTGAAATGTAGTCTTCACAGGCCTGCAGCGTATGTTGTTGTAACGAACAGATGAAATTTTTTATTAGTCTCTGCAAGGACATTTGTTTTTGTGTCCTACTTTCTAAATTAAAAGAGTTCAGAAAATTGCGAGGAAATAATGAACACGATAAACGAGTCTCTACATTATACGTCTAAACATTTACGAGTAAATTATTTGTAGGCCTTACTGGTAGCAGGAAGAAATGGTAATTGTAATAATTGCATAATAGGCACCTCTATTTAAACGTTCAAGATTTTTTGCTGTCATAGCAGACTAAAATGTCTACATTGAGGCTATTATTTTCGGGTTCTGTCAAACCTATACAGTGGAACCTCGGTTAACGAGTTTAATCCGGTTCGGCACCGAATTCGCCACGTGAAACGTCTTGCAAAACGTAACCAATTAAACTGCAGGCGACTGATGACCCACGCCCTGGGAACAAGACTCAACGGCGGACACAGGCACACGCACGTACTAACAGCTCGTTAACTGAGCGGAAGCTCGTTATCTGAAATCCTCCTAGATCTGCCTGCTCATCACTTGAGGCTCCGTTGTAATTCTGAAAGGCGTGGGGAAGTGTTTTGGGTGGATGAACCCCGGGGCCCCCGCTCGGGACCTCCGAGT